GCTCGCCTTGCTGCCGCTGCTCTCCTCGCCCCAGAGGGTTTGGCTCGTGCGGGCGAGGGCCTGCCGCCGCGTCACGAGGTGGTAGCGGATCAAGCTGAAGGCGCCGTCGGGGAGGATGCTGGTGCTGATGTCGGGGTAGCCTGCGTCCTTGGCGCCGAGGGTGAGGGCTTGGTGGGAGAAGCCGTGGTCGGGGACGTGTTCGTAGGCGGCGGAGAGGAGGGCGTGTTCTGAGTTGGTGAAGGCTTGGCTCGGCGCCGGATGGTCGAAGGAGTGGTACGGACGGCAGAAGGCGGCGATGGTCGGCCTGTGAAGGACGGCACGGGGGCGCAGGACGCGGGCCGCCATGGCGAATCCGGGCAGAAGGGGCGGTGGAAAAGTCGACGTGCGAGGGAGGCGAGGGCCGCGAAGTGTCAGACGTCGTGTGCAGCTTTGCTCTGCAGCTTGTTCGGGGTCTCGGAGACGGAAACGTGGTGCTTGCCGTCGAGTTGGAAGTTTCCATGACCAAACGAACCCCCATTCGCGTGGTCTCGCACGGATGAACCCGCGCGCCGACGTTGAAAGGGTCCAGGCCGTCCCGGTCTCCGTGCGCACGGACCATTTGATATGGACGTCCCTGGCCTGGTGCCCGTGTCTTGTAATCAAACGTAGGTATATTTAGGTACGAGGCAGGGCGAACATGGTCGACGAAACTCGCCGGTGTCTTCTTTTGTCAATTGGATCACATCAGCTCAACCGCTTCAGCCATCTCTGCGGCCCTGCCTTGCTCGCTCTGTAAGGACCCTGTAGTAGGCTGTAGGAGGCTGGCGGCTCTCCTTGCCCGCTGCAGCCCGTGTCTCAATCCGAACCTGGTGAGTGGCCTGAGTACGAACGGCATTCTACCACGAGCCGGCGCAGGGCGTCCTCGAAGACGAGACCGAGTCGAGATACACGCGCGCCATGCATGAGGCGGTTACACAGCATGTCGCTGGTTGGCCTCCGCCGCCGGCGCAGCCATTGCCGGGTGTGCGCCGGCATGATGCTGGATGCGAAAGATGTACCATGCATGGTGTTGAACCCCGCACGATTTCTCTCGGCCTGTCAAGGAGGTGCAACTACTGCTGCCATTCCATTTCCATGTCTGTCCTCCGGGGGACCGCCCAGTCCGAAGGTGTCAAACTACCTTACCTCTAGGTGCAGGTTACTGTCTGCACTTGGGACGGGGGCTGCAGGTCGTGTCAGGTCACTCTTGGACCCCCCCCCTCTTTACCATTTTGTCCCCTCATTCCGTCTCGCTTCTTGCCTCTTCCTCTCTCAATCTTCCAGTGCCCTTGTTCACGTCCCTGGTAGATATGCCAAATATAGTGGCGCCGGCCCGCATGTGCAGTCGCGCCAGGCTTTTCAAGATGGGAGCCAGTCGGGCCATGCTTTCAGGGTTGGACATACCGGGGGGGGACTGAAGCGTGCGCTAACACCAGACATCGTCGTATATGCAGAAGGGGGGGCTATTGTACCAAGCGGAAACGATCGGATCGTCAGGTACATATACATGTACTAGCGATACGGGTGCAGGCAAGGCCAGGAGTCGCTCAGCAGCGCTGTTGAGTTCTCTCTCACTCACTGTCTGTCTCTGCACTTGCTGACTTCCGTACTCACCCCCTGCTGCCGCATTGTTGAGCTTAATGCGGGGGGGGTCTTATCTCAGAGGGGTCTCTTGCGCCATCCGGGTGTTTAGGCTACGCTGCCCTGCAATACCCGCCTCGGACCCCAAATGATCATACCATTGGCCATTGGCGTCGACATTGCCCGTGTAGTCTTTCCCTCCACACATGCCGTCGTGTTTGGGAGGATTCGTCATGGTCGACACCTCGGGTAGTGTGGGGAGCCATATACGAAGTCGCTGGTTCGTCCAACCGGGGGGAGGGGAGGGGGAGGGGGAGAGGGAGGGGGAGAGGGAATGAGGAGGGGGTGCAAGAATCGCCAAGAGGAAGTGTTCAAAGCGATGTGCGCACGTTCGCTTTTCTCTCTCTCTCTCTCTCGCTCTCGCTCTCGAGGCTCCGCGACGACCGGTACCAGTCTGTCTGCGCAGCGCGAGAAAGCATCGTTGACGAAAGGAACGCTACTCGTACCTACCCGTCCCATCGTTCCTGCCTAAGGCAAGACAGGCCCAATGTCAAGCATCTAAGGTCAGGCTGGCCCAGGGTCGTACCGCTTCATGTACATGCCGTCACAATGGAGACGGATGGAGGCAGTTCTAGCAACGCCATTGGCTGTGTGGCCTTATTCTTGCGCACGCGTATCCACTTTCACCAGGCTGTGTGCACGCGCAGCACGACAACCAGGAGGGACGACCAGAGAGGAGAGGGGTAGAGGGGGGAGAGGCGACGTGATTGCTTTGCCTGGCCCTGCCTGGTCTGGTCTCTTCTTGCAATCTGTTCTCCACACCTGCTCCCGCCGGTCAGCTGTAGCTGCTGCACTGGGGGCTGCTTGAGGGAGCTCTCATGGTCCCCCGTCTGACCTGTGAGCGATCAATGGCAAAACACACCTTGCCGTTGCTGCTGTCGTTGTGACCAATCTCCATTCTTTGTCATTTCGAGTGATTTACAGAAACTTGATTCTCATCTCAGACAGAGGCGGGACGCGCCTGACGTTGGGTCGGTAAGGTACTTACGTATCTACGTACCCGTACCTGCCCACGTCAGAGCTAATCAGCCTGAGTACTTCTCTTTGAGCGAGCATAGGTAGGTGCCCAGGATCCAGATGCTTTCAGGCCTGTACAGGGAAGGGAGACTTCGCGCACGAGCCACTGGCGCCCTATTCATTCGTCGCGCCAGAATCCCCAGTCTGATTGATGCCCACCCCCCCTTCAAGGTAGGTAGGTACCTTAGACAGCTGGCCTCGGCGCGCGCGTTCCTCCGTCCATCCCAGCCCTTTCCATCCGGCTCGCGCGACGTCCACCAACTCACCCTCCGACTCCACGTTGCCTCTCGTCCAACGTCACGGAAAAGCGCCCAGTCTTCAACCTACCTACAGTCACGCGTAGTACTAACAACTCTCTCCCGCACACGCGCACACACACACACACACACACACAAGGCGCGATATACCCTTCCGCAACGACGACGGTCTCTACAGTCCAATCGACTCGAGGACCTCCGTAACCCATCGAAAACTCTTTCCCCATCAACTCCCAAGCCAAACCTGCACCTGCACCCTGCAAACCTGGCAGCCCGGCTGAGGCTTTCGTCGATACCCTTCAACGCAGTTCGGCCTTTTCCTACTCGTCGTTCACGAGTAATACACCATGGGTACGCATGCTCTTTTCTTTCTGTCCAGTCCCTTACCCTGCCAGCTGCCACCTCGTCCCGTCTGTTCGACTCCCCTTCCCCCTTCAGCCTTGCCGATCCTGCACGCCGGTCCTGCCATCCCCTCGCCCTGTCAGCCATCTGCTGCTGGACCACCACCATCACACGCTGCCTCCGACCTGCTGTTTCCTGGCCTGTCAAACACACCCAGAGGTCCGCCCGCGCTTGTGGTCTGTCGTGACGGCGGCAGCATGGCCTGACTTCCTCCACCACACACGGCACCTGTAACGCCATGATGCGTGGCTTGTCTGGGGAAAAGGCGCCCGCGCACGCGCTCTTCTGCGGTACAGGCGGTGCAGCAGCAGCGAGCGCCGTGCTTGGTGCCGCCGATGCTACTTGCGTGGAGTGTGGTGTGTGCTGCGTGGTGACGCGTTACCTCCTGTCGTGACTGGACACGGGAGTTGCACGCCCATGTCATCTCATACATACAGCTGCTACTTTCCATTTCACCATTTGCCATTCTTGTCCTGTTCGGCCGGGCCCAGTGCCCATTGCCAAACACGGCTGGCGGTAGCAGTTCTCACAGGCTTCGGGCTCTCATCACAGCTTGCTCACGTACTCGCTTGCTTGGTCCTGCCCTGGATTCAGGCTTGAAGTCCTCTTCCCTTGTCGCGCCCACGTCTGGCCTCACATCTATCCCCTCCCCCTCTCCCTCCGAGTTCCTTTCGGCGAAAATTCCAAGAGGCACATGCGGACACGTGCAATGACTTGCATTGTTCCCCGCGTCTCCTTGGTCACCCTTCCCTCAAAGGCATATCTGCTCTTCAGGCCTACTGGTTTGTGACTGCTGCCTGTGAGCCCGCCAAGGTGGAGGAGGCAGGGACGAGGCTGGAACGAACTGTCTGCGCTGGCCCGGATTGCGCCAGTACCGCACCCTCCCCCTACCTGCATATCTTTCCGCCCCTGCCCCACTTGACACTCCATCCTATCCGTTTGCGCCCCCCTCTCCCCCATTCTGCACCCCTCCTCTACAGCTACCTCAACCTGCCTTGGCCCCAACCGTTGCCGCCGGTACTACTACTGGTACTACCCCCTTCAACATCTTGCCAGCTTGCCTACCTCACCTTGCCTTACTTTTCACCTGGCCTCATTCCTACCGCGGCATCACAGTCCTCCTTCTTTGCTTTTCTTCTGCCCTCCCCGACAGCAGCAGTCTCACACCAAATTCTCGAGGCCTATATTCTGACCAGGCGCGTTACCTTGCAGCCGACAACAACGACGACACATATCGTCCCGTAAGTCTGCCCACCTCCTGTCTTGTTCTCCCCCTCTTTTCCCCAAAAGGTGAGACGGCTGGCGTAGAAACCGGATCACTTCGGTCGGATCTACAGCCGCCCTGCGCGCCGCCAACGATTGCGCTATCTCTTGAATTACCCTTTTGGCCCTCGGACTGTGGCGTGTTTGGCGCCAGTCTCAGCGCACGTCTTTCCGCCCATTTCGCGAAATCGCAGAGGACACCAATCGCGAATTGCAAAGGACACCAATTCAAGCCAGCACATCTTTGCTGACTGAGACTAGCGAGAGAGGTCCCGATCTCCGCGTCGAGGCCGTTCGCGAAGCCCCGGTCGTTCCACCACAGCAAGGCGCCGCTCCTTCTCACCCCGTAGCCGCTCCCGTAGCAGGGGAGACGATTACCGCGGACGCCGAGACCGCTCTCCCATGTCTGGAACAGGCGCGCCTGCCGGAGGATCCACCGGCGGATACGGAGGTCCTCCGCAACATCGCTCCTACGAGGAACGCGCCGTCGCCCGCGAACAGATGATGAGCAACATTCGCGACAGCTCCCAGCAGGACCGCCGCGTCTATGTCGGCAACCTCTCCTACGACGTCAAATGGCATCACCTCAAGGACTTCATGAGACAGTGTGGGTCACGTCAAGGCGTCTGTTGCTGGCGAGCAAGTGGCTGACCAGGGTTTTCATGTCTGCAGCTGGAGAGGTTCTCTTTGCCGATGTGCTACTACTTCCTAATGGAATGTCGAAGGTGGGCTTTTACACGTAGTCTATGGCTGGTTTTCCCTTTGTGGTTTTTCTCCCTCCGGCCTTGATGGAATCGTTGGATTGACGGGTTGGGCGCGCGCCTATTGGTGTTTGTAGGGATGCGGGTAAGTTCGCCATGCCACCCATGACATGCCAACGCGCAGCAGACTGACGGGGCCCTCAACACAGAATTGTGGAATACGCGACACGGGAACAAGCCCAGAACGCTGTGGCAACCCTTAGCAACCAGAACCTCATGGGCCGACTCATCTATGTCCGCGAGGTATGTTGTCACTCTCTTGGTTCAACCGATGATTGACGGCTGATGCATTCACCTTCTGTAGGACCGCGAAGCGGAACCCCGATTCATTGGCGCCACTGCGACCCGTGGTGGCTACGGCGGTCCTGGCGGCCCCGGCGGCCACGGCGGCATGAACCCTGGTGGCTTTGGTGGGCCGGGTGGTTTCAATGCCGGCGGCGGCGGTGGCGGCGGCGGCCGTCAGATCTACATCACCAACGTATGTTTTCCCCCCTATCATTGCCAAGCACTGGCGCTCCTGGTGCCTGTACGTGTTTGCTGACAGCACAATATAGCTGCCCTACACGGTCGGATGGCAGGATCTCAAGGATCTGTTCCGACAGGCCGGTGAGTACCAAAATGTCCCCACTTTGCGTTCCCCACAGCCTCGCACAGGCACTCACATTGTTCCCGCTGCCAGCACGTAACGGCGCCGTAATTCGCGCCGATGTCCACCTTGGTCCTGATGGTCGCCCCAAGGGCACCGGTATTGTCATGTTCGAGAGTCCCGACGATGCTCGCATTGCCATTGAGCAGTTCAATGGCTACGATTGGCAAGGGCGCCTTCTGGAGGTTCGCGAAGACCGTTTTGCTGGAGCTGGACCCATGGGCTTCGGCGGCCGTGGCGGCTTCGGCGGCGGCATGCGCGGAGGCTTCGGCGGCGGCTTTGGCGGTCGCGGCGGCTTTGGCGGTCCGCGTGGTGGCTTTGGTGGAGGCTTCGGCGGTGGCCGCGGTGGTTTCGGTGGAGGCTTCAGCGCCGGCGGTGCGCCTGGCGGCCCCGGCGTGAACCCTGGCGCGTCCGTGCCCCCCAACCCGTTCACCGACTACGCCACTGCCGGCACCGACAAGAGCGAGGTGATCTACGTGCGCAACGTACGTGGCCCGATTGCCCATCACCTCCAACTACCTTGCCAAACTTGCTAATCAATCGTGCAGCTTCCCTGGTCTACTAGCAACGAGGATCTCGTCGAGCTCTTCACCACCATCGGCAAGGTTGAGAAGGCCGAGATTCAGTACGAGCCAAGCGGTCGCTCCCGCGGCACTGGTGTTGTGCAGTTTGATGCTGCTGACACGGCCGACACGGCCATCCAGAAGTTCCAAGGATACCAGTATGGTGGACGCCCTCTGGGCCTGAGTTTCGTCAGATACCTGAGCCCCCCCGGTGCCGGTGGCGACAGCATGGATACAGATGCCCATGCCGGCCTGACCCAGGACCAGATCATGTAAGATGGTGCTCACTAACGTAGCTGCGCAAGACTGCCTTGCCTGCCTACAAGTGAGCTCAAAGGCACTTCGAAAGGGGAAAGCGGCCTGATTTTCCTAGCTTCTCCACGGCCACCTTCATGATAGTTGCACAGCCATAGCCTTCGTTACGCCTGGACACGCCCCGATGGACTTGATTGAGGCCATCTAGGGTGGTGGTGTCTGTTGTCCACAGGCATTCAAGATGCTACGCAGGAAAAAAAACTATCGGCGCATGTTTGTCTTTTTCTTTCCTTTTCCTTCGCAGGTTCCGGTCGCAGGGCATATAGTGGAGCCGGGGAGGGGGGCGACCGAGTGAGAGATAATCCAGATTGTACGTCAAATAGCAGTTGAACTTTGATCCGGGAGGTTGTAGGACATGGCGAGTTTTGGATGGTCAAGGCGCATGACGACGGTCTGGCACGGTGACTAGCAAGGCGCGGCGCAGCGTCTTCTGGCGGGTGATGTTGGCGATATGACCGTGGTGATGATGATGATCCGATGACACAAAAGTTTAATTGCTGGGCAACTTCTTTGCTCGGGTCGGCTTCTTTCTGGGGAGAATGGTTTGACCACTGCTGAGGCGGCAGGTTTTCATCGCACAGCGTTCCGTTCTGATACTGGGTCAGCCTCCATATCTAGGTAGGTATGGAGAGAGCTGTGATTCGCGCCATGCCTGAGAAGGCACAATACATCCGCTCCTCGGTGTTGTAACTGCATCACAGTCATTGCCAGATGCGTGCTCGCGTGGACATTGTTTCTAACCCCTGAATTGGACGACTCACATGCTGCCACTCTCACTCATCGTGCTCTTGGGCATGGACGTGGCAGATCGGAGACGGCCCTCATAGGGCAGCCCATTCATTCTCCTAGTTTGATAGCACATGACATGGAGCTGTGTGGTACGCAGTCTGTTTCAGGATCTGGTCCAACATGTTCAACATGATAACAGCAGTCCTTTACAAGTCCTTGCTTGACTGGTCGTTGTGTGGCCATCTACAAATGCGGACCAGTTCGTAGATCGTTCCAGGAACATAAAGCAACGTTTCGTCTCCGCCTGTACCCAGTCGAATGAACCCTACCGAGACATCCAAACGACTTGGTATTCAGGATATAGTTGATTTCTACAGACAAGTGTTCTATCCAGGGTGGGCGTGGCCCCGTCGAAGGAGCAGCGAAAACCATGTGCCAGGTGCACTCGTATCGATGCCCGACGTGCAAGACGAGGTGGCAGCAACGAAGAAGACTGGCGAGCTGCGACGAGGGCGCGCCGAACGGCTCAGACCCAGAGTGTCCGGAGAGCCTCTGCATGTATGCCGGGGATCCACAGGTGCCGGTGAGGAGGCAGTGCGCAACATGCGTAGGGCTGGCGGCCATGCTCAAGGAGTACGAGGAGGATGTGGCGGCCCAGCTCGACGCGAAGCTCGGGTGATGGGCAGCGGTTGAACGTGATATGCAGAGGCTGCGCAGCCCGAATAGTCCAATACAGGCTTGTTTTTTCTTCTTGGTCAGAATGTTTCTTCTTGGTCAGAATGTTTCTTCTTGGTCAGAATGGGTATCCTCATGATTTCGTCTGAGACTGTATAGCCAGAAATCCTAAGCAATCTCTATGTCCACATGGCAGCAGCAGCAGCAGATCCGCCCTCTTCGAAGCCTCGCCGCTCCCAAGTTCAACAACGTCAGTTCCCTCAGGGCGCCGCCGGCGCGCCGACCTTTCTCTTCTTCGCCTTGGCCTTCTTCTTGCTCTTGTCGCGCGGCTTCAGCGCCGTCATGCCCGTCTTGCACACCTCTGCGTAGCGCGCGAAAAAGTCGTCAATGGCGCTGGGCTCGACGATGGTCGAGAGCTTGACCTTCTTCTTGTCGCTCCGGCTGGATTTGGCGTTTGTCGCCCTCACGATGATGGGGAGCGGCTTCGAAGGGTGCGTGTCTGGAAAAGGGTCCTCTTCTGTCGGCGCGGCGATGGCGTCTTGGCCGTGGGTTACTGCATCGAGGGACGTCAGTAAGAGGGGGGGAAAAACTTGATTGCGCCTGGCTGGTGCGATTGCAGGAGCAGGGGGCGTGGGACGTGGGACGTACGCCTCTTCTGGACGAGGTAGATGGCACCGTGGTCTTTGCCCTTGCGGTGGTTGAACAGCTCGTTGAGCCCGGCGAAGAACTGTGCCGGAGGGCGCATGTAAGTGGTCTTGTCGCGCGCGAGAGGGACTGACGGTTTCTCACCTCGTCGTTGCTCAGGTGCGACGCCATGGTGACAGCGTGCTGGGGAGGTGCGTGGACGTGGACGGGGGGTTGAACTTCTGGCAGCCCCAGAATGGGATCTTGATTCGCATGGAAGTCCTGGCACCCCGCGATGCCGTACGCTGTGGGTCTGTTGTACGGCGGGGCAGAGACGCCAAATACAGCCTGCACAGCGTAGGTACCTGGACCCACTCGGGTGGAGGGGAGGGCCCCGCTAAAAAGTTGTCGGAGAGAAGAAGAAGATCAAGTTCATCTGGTGCCGCAGCGAACAAGCAGCAAAGTTGCGACACGCCTGGAAACAAATACACCACCCCTCGACTAAATAGAGAACCGGAATTGCAACATGCCGCCAAAGCTCGCCCTTCCGGGCAATCTCCTCAAGGAGATGGGAGTCTCTGGAGAACCCAAAGGAACGCCGCGCGACAACAGTCGCTGGAAGAGCCAGAGCCAAAACCGACGGGACAAACGCAAGGCCGAGCGATCACAGAAGCGCCAGGGACCGACAGCACCCCGAAGGCCGCCCGTCAGAGCTGCACCTCCCAGGCCGTCTCGCCAAGAACCGGACGAGTCCAAGGACGACTCGGACGACGGCCATGCCGCGACCATTCCGACGAAACGAGGAGCGCAAGGCGCAAAAGCGGCCAGCGACACAAATCAGCGAAAGAGGAAGAGGAAGGCCCCCGTGGAGGAGGAAGAGGACGATGACGACGACGAGCCAGTCTCGCCGGTCGCGAAGACGGCCAAGACTTCGCGCAAGATGAGGGACAAGTTTGCGCAGGATGATGCCGAGATTGAAGACCTCGAGCGGAAACTCGGCATCAAGAAGGGTCGCAAGGCCCTGCCCAAGTCCTTCCACGAAGATGGCCTTGACGCCCTGCTGGACAGTGACGGAGGTGAAGACGACAGCGAGCGAGACGAGAGAACAAAAGCCAAGCGGGAGGCAGACGAGTGGTTGGCCAAGAAACGGAGGAAAGCGGCAAAGGCAGAAGTGCCCGTCGACAGCGAAGAGGAGGCGGACGAGGGCGATTCGGACATGGACGACGGCCTCTCGGACCTGCTAGAAGACGACGATGACGATGACAACGACGACGACGATGACGATGAGGGCTCACTTGGCGACTTTGGCGGTGACGACGACGACGAAGATGACGACGCAGGATCATTTGGCGGATTTGACTCCGACTCGGATGAACCAACAAAAAACAAGCCCAGAGTCAGAGAGAACCCGTACGTCGCGCCAGTAACGGCTGCCGCTGGCGGTGAGAGTGCTGGCAAGTACATACCGCCGTCCCTTCGCAAGGCGCTCGGCAAGGATGCGGATCTCGAGGCTCAGATTCGGAGAAAGACTCAGGGTCCTGTGAACCGTGTCACCGAAGCGAACCTTGTCTCCATTGTGGGAGAGATTGAGAAGATCTATCGCGAACACCCACGCGGCATCGTCACGGATATCCTTTCGGACCTGCTGATGGCGCAAATCTGCGATGCGACAAGCAAACCAGACACGCTTTTGGTTCTTTCTGCCGGGTTCATAGCAGCCTTGTACAAGGTCATTGGTGTCGACTTTGCCGCCCATTTCGTCACAGCTGTGGTTGAACGGTTCCAGAGAGAGCACGATGCGGCAGAAAAGATGGCTGCTGAGGCCCGCACCCCGACCAAGGAGACATCAAACTTGATCACGGTGCTGGCAGAAATGTACGAGTTCAAGGTCGTTTCGGGCAAAATTTTGTTCGACTACATCAAATTCCTGCTCCAGGACTTGTCAGAGCTCAATGCTGAGATTTTGCTTCGTATCGTTCGACTGGTCGGAGCGCAGCTTCGAAAGGATGACCCCTTGGCGCTCAAGGATATCGTCAGCCTCATTCGGCCCGCTGTTGCCAAGATCGGCGAGGCGAACCTCTCCGTACGAACCAAGTTCATGATTGAGACGATTAGCGACCTCAAAAACAATAAGCTCAAGACCGGCGCGCAGGATCTAGCCGTCCTCCATGAGCACGTCACGCGCATGAAGAAGCATCTCGGCACCATGGACACATCGAAGCTCAAGGCTACCGAACCACTCCGCATGGGTCTTGATGACATTCAGGCTGCAGACAAGTCGGGCAAGTGGTGGCTGGTTGGTGCCAAATGGGCTGGGCAGGGAGGCGATAGCAAGAAGGCCGACCCGACCGCAGCCAGCGCCGGCGCCGCCGGCTCGGCGGAGGTGGCGTCAGACGATGATGTGATCATAGATGACGGGCTGGACATGCCGAACTACGCCGAGCTCGCACGCGAGCAGGGCATGAACACGGACGTACGCCGCGCCATCTTCATCGCCCTTGTCGCGGCAGCAGACTTTAACGATGCCTACTTGCGGATATTGAAGCTGCGTCTCAACAAGTACAACCGCCGGGAGGTCTCCAACGTGTTGGTCCAGTGCTCCGGAGCGCAGCAGCACTACAACCCTTACTATACGCTGGTCGCGAGCAAGTTCTGCGGTGATTCGAGGATCAAGTATGCTTTCCAGGATACCCTGTGGACATTCTTCCGCAGACTTGGAGAGCCTCTCTTTGGAGAGGAACCGGAAGAGGAAGATGAGGAAATGACAGATAACCGCCGAATCATCAATACGGCCAAGATGTTCGGCAACCTTGTCATGGACTCATCTGTATCATTGACCGTACTGAAACCTCTGAACATGGCTTACGTCAAGGACACGACGGGTTTGTTTGTGGAGGTGATGCTCATCACGGTTCTCCAGGGCTGCATCAAGAAGGACCCAAAAAATATAGAGACGAGTCTCGGCAAAATCTTCGCCAACGGCATGGCGCCGGAGTTCGCAAGGAGTTTGAGGTACTTTCTCCGCAAGAAGGTCCGTAAAACAGACCTGGTCGATGGAAAGAAGGAGACGGCCAGAGTCAAAGAGGCGTGTAGAAAGGCCGAGGACATGCTGGAACAGCTAGAGCTGCGGGAAGAGGAATAAATCAGTCAGCCAGACAGTGGCAAGGAATCAATCGACAGCATCATTGCCGGAGGCATTGGATATGTTTTGTCATACGAAATCTCGTGACATTGGGAGACTGGTGACGATGGTCATGAGCACTATGTTTGTGGATGTGTAATCGGCTATGCACCAGATGGCCTTTCGCCGCCCGGAGGGTAATATCAGTCGGTATTGGCACGGGTAGAGTCGGGTTGGTGGTCCAGCCTTGGACCCCCCGCCTCAATTGCCTCCCAACGGTTTGCTCAAACCAAGTCCCATTGGACGGAATAAAAAAACCAGCCGCAGTCCCGATCCAATGGAGGCTCTCCATCAGCCGTTTTTACGGGTCCCTGGGCGAGCGAGACACCTACTGGTTGTGTCTGACCTCGAGATCCTATCCTGCCTCTCGTGGAGAGCTTGTCCGACAATCATAGTTAAGACTCCTCATCTCCATCCCCCTTCTTGCCCATCCGACGTTTCGATCGGTACACACAGACAAGATGCTTTCCCGTCGCTTGCTACCGCGCTCTGCCGTAAGGTCGGCCTTCAAGCAGTCTTCGTGAGTACCAATGCCTCAATTCCTTTTGCATTCTTCTGGACCCCCCCCCTTACGCCGAGTGTTCTTGGTCCGCCGAGCTTGTTGCCATCACCACCCGTAAATCACTCGCGTCGTTCGTCGCTGACCAGATATCAGTCTGCCCGCCGTTACCGCTCCCTCCCAACTGTCGCGATGGAGTCGCACATACGCGTCCGCTTCTGGTTCGTTGCCCTCCATTCGAGCAAAGCCTCGAAACAGCTATTTTTCTTGGCCCTCCGTGCTGATAGTTTCGTGAACAGAGGAGAAGGACTTGATCGTCATTGGTGGTGGCGTTGCTGGCTACGTCGCCGCCATCAAGGCTGGACAGGAGGGCATGAAGGTACGGCGCATTCCCAGGCACTTCTCCTACAGACGGCATGCTAATCTTATGACTCTCAGGTCACCTGTATCGAGAAGCGCGGCACCCTCGGCGGCACCTGCCTCAACGTTGGCTGCATTCCCTCCAAGGCTCTCCTCAACAACTCTCACATTTACCACACCATCAAGCACGACACAAAGAACCGCGGTATTGATGTCAGCGACGTCAGCATCAACCTCGAGCAGTTCATGAAGGCGAAGGACACCGCTGTCTCGGGCCTGACCAAGGGTGTCGAGTTCCTCCTCAAGAAGAACGGCGTCGAGTACATCAAGGGCTCCGGCTCTTTCGTCAACGAGCACGAGATCAAGGTTGAGCTTAACGACGGTGGCGAAACCTCCGTCAAGGGCAAGAACATCCTGATCGCGACCGGTTCCGAGGCTACTCCCTTCCCCGGCCTTGAGATTGACGAGAAGCGCGTTGTCACCAGCACTGGCGCCCTCAAGCTCGAGAAGATTCCCGAGTCCCTGGTTGTCATCGGCGGCGGTATCATCGGTCTCGAGATGGGCTCTGTCTGGTCCAGGCTGGGATCAAAGGTTACCGTTGTTGAGTTCCTCAACCAGATTGGCGGCCCTGGCATGGACACCGAGATCTCCAAGACTACCCAGAAGATCCTGAAGAAGCAGGGCATCAACTTTAAGCTCGGTACCAAGGTCGTCAGCGGTGACGCTTCTGGCGAGAAGGTCCAGCTTCAGGTCGACTCTGCCAAGGGCGGCAAGCCCGAGACCGTAAGCACTTGTCCTCCTGGTTCTATGCTGTGGTCATAATAGCTAATCGACATGTCTCTAGATTGACGCTGATGTCGTCCTTGTTGCCATTGGTCGCAGGCCCTACACCGGTGGGCTCGGACTCGAGAACATCGGTATGGAGCTGGACGACCGCGGCCGTGTCATCATCGACTCGGAGTACCGTACCAAGATCCCCCACATTCGTTGCGTCGGCGACGTTACCTTCGGACCCATGCTTGCGCACAAGGCCGAGGAGGAGGCTGTCGCTGTTGTCGAGTACATCAAGAAGGGCCACGGCCACGTCAACTACGGCGCCATTCCCTCGGTCATGTACACCCACCCCGAGGTCGCTTGGGTCGGCCAGAGCGAGCAGGATCTGAAGTCGCAGAACATTCCCTACCGCATCGGTACCTTCCCTTTCAGCGCCAACTCGCGCGCGAAGACGAACCTCGACACTGAGGGTATGGTCAAGATGCTGGCGGATCCCGAGACGGACCGCCTGCTTGGTGTTCACATTGTCGGCCCCAACGCCGGCGAGATGATTGCTGAGGCTACACTGGCTCTCGAGTACGGTGCGTCTAGCGAGGACATTGCTCGTACGTGCCACGCACACCCCACCCTCGCCGAGGCCTTCAAGGAGGCTGCCATGGCCACCCACTCTCTGCCCATTCACATGTAAGGAGAGTGATCTAGGACGTTGGATCGCCAAGGCTCGAGGGACTCGGGAAAGGGCGAAGAAGACAAAACAGGAAAATGTATTGCGTCAGAATGGAGGAGGCGGCAAGATAGACGATGGGATCATAGGTAGAGCCAGGGGCGTCTTTCTGGCTTCGCGTATTCAGACTAGCACGCAGGATGCGAGTGTACCAAGGTCTCGGACGCTGTGTACAGTATAATGCATCTATGCTTTCGTCACCAGAACCTACGGGACGTTGTTGGGTCGCCCCATGAAACTAGGACGTCGCCATGATCGGGAAAACCATCATCCGCATACCGGTTAACAGGGCACGCCGGACAAGGACACTGCCGTCCTGGCCCGAACGCCATCGCTGAGTACGGATATCGTCGGTACGACTGTCGTGCCAGGCCACCATGCTGGTCGAATGACCAGTAGCTGCTGTTGTTTCCACAGCCGCTGATAAGTGGTCCATTGACTGGTCCATTGAGCTGACTATACACTCGTCATGTGTCAGTATCATTACTGTGTTCCTGCGAGGTCCATGGCCTTGCAGGTGGTGGTCTTCTCTGGACTGATCTTACAAGTTGATGGGTCCCGCCATGTGATGGTCATACTGCCCACATTGGTATCGATACTGCTCGCAGTCTACAAAGAACCCCCCAGTCTGTCAGTCTGCGCGGCGGATCTCTAGGGTGTACTTACTATTGTGCAGTCCCGCATGCAGGCCGGCCTGAGCTGGGTTGTTGACGATGACAACAGGTGTCTGTCTCACGTTGCAGGGGTTATAACATGCCATGATGAATTGCGTAGTGTCTTCGAGGCGGCAGGTTGTGACGTGACAAAAGTCTACAATCAGGTCATAGTGAGTAGAAATAGCGATAGACGGGCTTTCGGACAGACGACGGTTCATATAGATCATGATGTGACACGACGATCGTTTGCTTAGGAGTCACAGGATCACAAAGTACCATTGACTGTCGGTACATTAACAAACAATACGAATCATGTTTGTATTCGTCTGGCTTGATGCGCCAGAAACTATTTTGTGCAGCTGAACAAGGCAGCGCTGAAGCGAATCTATCTCTATCTCTAGAGCCTTAAAGCTAGGTACAGGCCGATCTGCTTGGGGAGGTAGGGAGACAGCTCAGGCGCGTACGGAGGCTCCCAGGCGCTGGTGTGGGACTTGCTCCCCAAGTTGACACGCTAAAGTTCCTTTTGGTCTGCCAAATAGGGGCCGTGACAATGACGATCATCCAGGTACCCTCTCAGACCTTACCTGAAAGAGGTCGGGCCCGTTGAACTGTCCGTCCCTGGCGAATGCATGGTCCCATCAGCTACCGAAGATCCGAAGAAATCAACTGACTGTTGGACACTGTCGACGGGGTCCCATCAGGCACGCAAGGAGTCAAGGCGTGGTCCTGCAATCGGACCGGATTGGAGATGCCATAGCAGCAACGGTGGTCCACGCATGTGTGTCTCTGAGTTGGTCCAGCGCTACCCTAACATCGGTCGCAACTTTGCTTCTGCTCTCGACTTGCGGTCCACCACTTCATCTGTCACTTGTCGTCAAATCTTTTAATTACAGTCGCCCTGGACCGCTCGCACCTTCCGCTCGCACCTTCCGCTCGCTGTGAAATTGCGCGATGGACGCCCGCAAGCATCGAGATTTACCCCTCCTGTCTCGACGACAGGTGGAAGGGCTCATCGCGAGTGGACGCACCATTATCATCGTGGACAACTATGTGTTGAAGGTCGACGCATGGCTGAAGTATCACCCTGGCGGTGACAAGGCCATCATGCACATGGTCGGTCGTGATGCCACAGACGAGGTTACAGTGTACGAGTCTTCCAACCTACCACCGGCAGCTGACTGCACGCCATCCATGCATTGCTCATCCTCCATGCTAACGCGTTGCTTCGCTGCAGGTTGCATTCCCCGGAAGCAAGAGAGCAGATGATGCGCTACCGCATTGGCCGAGTAGGGGGACGATGGGAGAACTTCTTACCACCAATCCAGGGAGGGAGCTTCCGCGATATGGCCACAGAAGCACCAGAGGACGAAGAGCAGACTTCCACCTCCAGTGATACCGACTCGCGCGAAGCCTCACCCGTCTTTGATGCTGAAAAGCCCCTTGCTCACCGCCGATACAACACCACAACCACCAACACCAGAGGCCACTCCTCGTCAGCCAGCTCAGTATCGTCGCATGACGATGACCACAAAATGACACCCACGGGGTTCTTAGACGCCCAAACGAAAAAGGAGATCAGCCTGGACCTCGATCGATACCCGTCACTCGACATCAATACACAACACGAAATTGTTATCAAATATCGTCTCCTCAACAAAAGGATACAGGCGGAAGGGCTTTACGACTGCAACTACCTTTCCTACGCCATCGAGATGGTGCGCTACTCTCTCCTCTTCAGTGGCATGCTGCTCTTCCTGAGCCGGGGTTGGTATGTCCCGAGCGCCATGTGTCTGGGTATCTTTTGGCACCAACTTGTCTTTGCCGCCCACGATGCAGGTCACATGGGCATTACCCACAATTTCCACATCGACACATGTATTGGCATCTTCATCGCCGACTTCCTGGGTGGGTTGTCCTTGGGCTGGTGGAAGCGGAGTCACAATGTTCACCATATTGTCACCAACTCCCCCGAGCACGATCCAGACATCGAGCACATGCCTTTCTTCGCCGTCTCCCACCGACTTTTGGGTAATCTCTACTCGACGTACTACGACCGACTGATGAAGTACGATGCGTTTGCCAAAGTGATGCTATCTGTGCAGTCCAAGACGTATTATCCGATTATGCTGTTCGGCCGCTTCAACCTCTATGTCCTCTCCTGGGATCACCTGATCGCCGGTCGCGCACCACGGCACGGACCGGCGTGGTGGCATCGTTGGCTCGAGGTGGTCGGTCAAGCGTTCTTCTGGGCTTGGTTCGGGTACGGCATCGTGTACAGGTGCATCCCGACGGCTTGGGACCGGGTTGTCTTCGTCATCGTGAGCCACATGCTGCAGGCGCCGCTGCATATCCAGATCACGCTCTCTCACTTTGCCATGAGCACCGCCGACCTGGGGCCGGCCGAGTCCTTTCCCCAGAAGATGCTTCGCACCACCATGGACGTGGACTGCCCGACCTGGCTAGACTTTTTCCACGGCGGGCTGCAGTTCCAGGCGATCCATCACCTGTACCCTCGTATCCCGCGCCACAACCTCAGGCGGACCCAGAAGTTGGTGCAGGAATTCTGCGTCGATGTCGGTATTCCATACGCACTCTATGGCTTTGTGGACGGCAACAAGACCGTCATCGGCAAGCTTGCCGAGGTGTCCCGACAGGCAGCCATTTTGGCAGAGTGCCAAAAGCATGTCGCGAGTCACGAGTAGCATGCCGACGTGATTAGCAATATAATGACAGCTCGTTGTTCATGAAGAGGCACTCATTTCAGCACGAGCAGCTCTGTTTGATGATGATATGGATGCTTAATCTGAGTAGATGATTGTACCATGTATATAGAGACAGTATGAGAGCTGCATTTCAGGAAGTAATCGGTACGACTGTGGCGATATCTGACATGTCTGAAGCGTGTCAGCTTCCAAGCTCGTCCGCCTAGGGTTCCGACGTTGCTGCGCAAGTCTGTTATCATGTTTGCCTCGCAAACCGAGACGATTGAAATTTGCCAACGCTCGGGACTTTGGAGGCCTGCGACATTCCATCCCATTCTCAGCTAATTGGTGGCCGGTGCTGCCCATGTCAGTGAGGTGAAAGGACCGGGGTGGCTCCCCATCCTTGCCGCGCCATAGTGACCTATGTGTTGTTCCCAAAAGGCTGTCACTTGTCCCGTGGGCTTGGTACCGTCTCCATAGTCCACACCCTGGTCGGCATGAAGGTGGAAAACGGGAACCCAGGTTCAGGCTGAAACAAAGGGCCCAAAAGACTATTTGCCGTCCGTACCTGTTCCTGTTCGATTCGCAGGTACACCAAACGGCGTCTTTGATTGTACCTTGCTATGAGGAGTCCCACTCCCCGCCCACGTCCCTCGTCGGAACAGAGCAATGCTTAGAAGCTAGTCACGCTTGTCACGCTTGTACGTTCCCACCCACCTTTCAGGGCAAAGAGCAGCAGTGTAGTAGCAGTCGTCCCCGCCCAGGAGAACAGGGCGCGAGGTCCCCACGGCGATATATGGCTGCCCAAGGCGGAAAAAGAGAGAGCTGCAGAAGCACACGAAGTGGCGGTGATCAGCCCGTCGTATCTCGCAAACAATTATGATTGTCGCCGTGTTGCGACCCCCCTCCTCCGAGGCAGCCGGGAAGAGGGCAAGATTTGAATCGCTGGCCTGACCCTGGTCATGAGCAAATGATGCGTGAGGGCCTCGCAGGAATCCGAGAAAGAAGCAAAGGCCGCCGCCCGCCAGGAAAGCTCTCGCAAGGCCCTGTTCATCCCACCCCTGGACCTAAGTCAGCCTGCCTTCCCCCTCCCTCTTCCCTCCCCGTGCCTCCCCTCAACCACCCCCCGGAACATGGCCTGGCGTCAGAGAGCGGGGGCAAAAGCAAATTGGTGAAGATGCAGGGTACGCAAGGGCGAGTGAGTATAAGAGACGAGCCGTTGGCCGTTGAGAAGGACATGTTTGGAAGTCACGATGTTTGCCGGCGATTCCATTACACGAGACACTGCAAACCTTGACACGGCAAGACGCAGCCCGCCGCAGAGCTTGAGAGGGCCAGCACTCGACTCCACAGCGTGCAGACAAAAGGGTAGAAGGCAGGCACCCTCCATAAGGACCCGCGTATAGACAATTCTCGACCGAAAGCCATTCGACTTCGCAGCTTCACTTCCTCAGACTCATCCTACGACTTGGCCATGGGGAAAAGTAAGATGGACGAGGCCGCCGCGGCGAGAATTCGAAAGGCACGAGGGGAACAGGTAAGCAATCCCAAACAATGCCAACCGCCAGCAAGGCATGGCGCAAAGGGCGCCGAGGTTTCGGAGAACCTGCCGCTGACTGACTGCGTTGGTGGCAGGACGAATTCGCAAGACGAGCAGCCGTGGCGGCGAGGACGAACAAGGACAACAGCGCCGGGGGTCAAACAGAGCAGCGAGGTGGCAGCGGGCAGAGTGGTGCCAGTGAGTCCAGCGGTGGAAGCCAGCGGAAATGATAAGACGGCCCGAGATGACAGGCGTGACGTGACGCAGTCGGCGCGGACTGGAACCAGGGGGTCAGGATCCGAGTCCCAGGAGGCTGGATCATCATCCACTCTCAGTGCCCCAGTTTGCCAGGGTCAAGCAGGCTACCACGTCGAGCGCAACACGGCACTTCAGCCATGGCAAAACGGGCAGGTTCAGCGAGCCCACCAGGCTCGGCGTCCTGGGTGCATTAGAGTGAGAAAAGGGAGGACTGTCATGAGAAAGTGGAATGAGGGAACGAAGTCAGAAAGTCTTTGCTCCAGAGGGGACCGAAACACCATGCCAATTGCTCATAGTGACCCTTGCTCGCCTCCACAACCCACGCTGCTGGGACAGCTTCGGCATCTCCCTGGACGCTCGTATGGGCATTCTTTTCCCTTACCTCTCTGACGGTCAAAAAAGGATGGATATGTAGATAAGCAACAAGACCCTTGTCGGATTACCCCACGCGCCGCAACCGAGATGATGAAGTGGGTCGGAGAGGAAGGGCTTCGGTTGACCTTTCTTTGCCCGCCTTTGCCAGCCTCTGCCAGGCTCAAGAGTACGTACCTGCTTGTCAGCCTTTCCTCGCCCACCCAGCCAGCCAGCTAACCAGCACCTGAGGTAAGCAGGGAGCCGACACGGATAGGCTGCACCTGAGCTTTCGTCACATCCTCAACCTCCACTTCATCCAGCCTTGGAAGCACCTTCAAGCTCCAATCTTCGTACATCTAAGGCCCCTAGCTCGCAGTCATTGCTTTTCAGCTACACCGCAATTTCCCGAAGCACTCTGTGTTTTCTCTCACTCTCTGCGCTCCCGTCGAACCGTTGCGTCGTCTTGTCGCCCCGATAAGCATTCAACGCTCGCGCTAGTCTCATCCTCTCAAGCATGACCTAAGTATCCACGCGACAATGGACGCCAACGTCCAGAGACTCTTGAACGACAAGCTCTATGACAAACGTAAAGTCGGAGCGCTCGAGTAAGTGCATATATTACGAGGCATCTCGTTCAAAATCACAACCGCTTTCTGAGTGTGTCTCGTTCGCTGACCACCGGAGCTAGGTTGGAACGCGTCATTCGGGATCTTGTAGCCTCGAAAGACTACAACAGAGTTGAAGCGATCCTCGAGCAGCTTTGCAACGAGTATGCATATGCGGTTCATCAGCCCCATGCCAGGAATGGCGGCTTGATTGGCTTAGCAGCGGCTGGAATAGCTCTAGGTTCAGTGCGTCGCCCCCCTGGCCGAATAAGTGCCTTTGAGGCCTCTACGTCCCCCGCTGCCCCTTTGAGTGTGTTGCTCACAAATTTGCTCTCGCCAGGAACTAGCACGTTACTTGGCCAAGATTGTCCCGCCTGTACTCGCATGCTTTACCGATCAGGATGCCAGAGTACGGTATTACGCGTGCGAGGCCATGTACAACATCGCCAAGGTTGCGAAAGGCGAGATACTAATCTATTTCAACAACATATTTGATGCTCTCTGTAAAGTAGGGACTATCGTTAACACTTGCCTCTGCCGTCCTTTGCTGATATCCTTGCTTAGTTAGGCGCGGATTCTGAACTGTCAGTGAAGAACGGAGCGGAACTCCTTGATCGGCTTGTCAAAGATATTGTCTCCGAGTCGGCAGCCTCTTATGTCTCTGTCCTCGAGACCGAGCCTGAGTATGGCGGGCCAGAGAAAGACTTCAGCGAGGACCGACCTCGCCCACCAACTGCCTTCTCCCTGCAGCGGTTCATCCCACTTCTGAAGGATCGAATATGGGTTATAAACCCATTCACTCGCCAATTTCTTGTAGGCTGGATCACTCTTCTAGATTCTATCCCAGACCTTGAAATTGTCACTTTCCTTCCCGGCTTCCTCGCCGGCCTACTCAAATTCCTGAGTGATACCAACAAGGACGTGCAAGTGGCTACACAGGCCTGCCTGAACAAATTTCTCAACGAAATCAAGAGGATTTCTAGGGTCAAGAAGGGCTTGGCTGAGAGCAAGAAGTCTCGAGAGGGCGGCAAGAGGAAACGAGAGGACTCAGTCGATTCAGGCAGCCTCCAGGATGGCCTGCAGGAAGGCGACGAGATTGACTCTCAGATGTCGGGTGATGACGACGATGTGAGCGCCGAAGAGGACTGGGTGCCTGGGCAGGACGTCCACATCAACTACCGAGAGATCCTCGATATTTTGACGGCGACCTTGGACTCTCCACTAGGTACGTTGAGACAAAGCCCCTCCCTCATAATGCGTAGTAAGTTATCTCATTATGTGTGGTAGAAGACGCAACGTTGCCCGAGTCACTGCGCTGGATTGTGGAGTTCCTTGACATTTGTCCGGAAGAGGTTTTGCCTTTCACGCCCAAGGTTCTTGCGCACATGTTGCCTGCCATGGCAAGCGGCTCAGAATCGATTCGTCAAGCCGCAGTCCGGGTCAACAGTGGTCTGTTGGACTACGTTGTGTCGTTATCGGATGAACCCGATATGGGAACGCAGTATCACCACCAATCGCGCCTGCCAACGTTCGGAGAACGGCCGGATGGCACTGTTAGTGCTCGTGCCTCCCTTTCCAGCTCCCGCGAGCTCGATGTACGAAGTCCGACGCCCGCCCATAATCGCTCCATCTCAACGCCCAGCGCTGTTCCGTCTTCAGCTCACCCACAGGCGGATCTCGATTACGCAGCTGCCGTTAGCGCTCTTACGTTGCTCTTCCTCAATGACCACGAGGCTACGAGGGTGGCCGCCTTGACGTGGCTCATCATGCTGCATAGGAAAGCACCGCGCAAGGTCCTGGCATTCAACGATGGAACCTTCCCGGCCCTGCTCAAGACGCTGTCTGATCCAGCAGAAGCTGTCGTGACCAAGGACCTGCAACTGCTGTCGCAGATTTCACGCAACAGCGAAGACGACTACTTTTCCAACTTCATGGTCAATCTCTTGCAGCTTTTCGCTACAGACAGAAAGCTGCTCGAGACCCGCGGAAACCTTATCATCCGACAGCTCTGTGTCAGTCTCAGCGCCGAGAGGATCTACAGAACACTGGCAGATTGCATTGAAAAAGAAGAGGATGTTGAATTCGCCAGCATCATGGTACAGATTTTGAACAACAACTTGATTACCGCACCAGAGCTGGCAGATCTTCGCAAGAGGCTACGCAATCTCGAGACAAAGGTATGTCAGCTATGTTTTGCAGGGAATTGTCATGGACTGACGTGACTTCAAGGACGGTCAAGCTTTCTTCGTAGCTCTCTTCCGCTCTTGGTGTTACAACGCCGTTGCGACATTCTCGTTATGCCTGCTGGCACAGGCATACGAGCAAGCTTACAACCTCTTGCAGATATTGTCAGTTTGCAGAGCCTGTGGTTACACGTAAGACGAAGTTGCTAACCCTGTGTAGTGCGGAGTTGGAGATGACCGTGAATATTCTTATTCAAATAGACAAGCTGGTTCAACTCATCGAATCACCAGTATTCACGTGTAAGTTGTCCCACGCTTTACCACCGACTTGAGTGGGAAGCTGACATGCGGTGTTCCGCACCTCAGATCTCCGCCTCCAGCTCCTGGAGCCTGAAAAGTTCCCATATCTCTACAAGTGCCTCTACGGACTTCTTATGCTTCTCCCACAGTCATCCGCCTTTGCTGCCCTCAAGAACCGCCTCAACAGCGTCAGCTCGATTGGCTATCTGCATATCACACCTCGACCAACGGCGTCGACGTCGGCTGGTGCGAATTTCGACAGACCCAACAGGCTCAAAGGGCGAGAAGAAGCCATTGTCAAGTGGGGCGACCTGTTGGAAAAATTCCGCAGTGTACAGGAGAAAGCTCGGCGGACGCAGAGGCACGCCGGCGAGGGTCTCGACGATGGCGCCCCGCTGGGTGTCGGTGATATTAGACTTGGTGACGGACCAGAAATGAAGGGAGGATCCAAAGACACCCGCAACATGCCGGGGCCGCCAGTCCCGATGAAAGACCCGTCTACGGTCCCTCCGCCGGCTGCTCCGGCTGCTAAGCGGTCCGGTCTCGGGAGGCAGCTGGGCAGATTTGGTGGCGCTGTGGCCGGGAGGGGAAAGCGACCTTGATGGATGTCACCATGGTCGCAGATGTATACTTGATCAATGAAGCTAGAGTCAGTCCATCGGAAGGGAAGGCCACTTTTAGTCATCATGATCTTTTCCGGGGACTCTCACGTTCTACGAGACTCTCGAAAACGGCATCTCTCCGGCGTGTGAGTGATTGAAGTTCGCTGCGCAAAGCTTCGAGTTGGTCTCTGGCAGCATCGGCGTCGTCAGGAAGGCCGGCAAACGGAGCTATCTGAGAATCGAGATCCATCTTGCGATTCAAGAGACTTGTATATGCCGACTCCTCTCGCGCAATTTGATCAATGGTGGGGTGAAAGGCGGCTGGGGCTGTGTCAATGGCTTTCAGACGGTCCTCGAGCTCGGGCAACTTGTTGGAGAGAGCCTTGATTTTTCTTTGCAATTCCACATTCTGTCGCGGGAGCTCGGCCGAGGGCTTGAACTTCCAGCCCTGCAAGTCATGTAGCAGATCTGCAATGGCGATTTTCTCCGCATCCACGTGAGATTGAAGATCTTTCAGGCGGGCACGCCTCTCCTCTGTCTCCTGCGCCTGTGCCTGGAGTTGAACAAGCGTGACGCCGAGTTCATGAGGTGTTGGCTGAGGGTTGCCGAGATCAACAGCGAGCGACGCCAGCGCATCGAGGGCATTGCGTCCGTCTTGGGGCAGAGCTTCTTCGATAGCCTCGAGGAGGTCAGATTGAATTGAGGCGTGGTCAGCACCTCGGTCGGCGGCCTGTGATAGCTCCCTGAGGGCAGAGGCTTCGGCGCGCGCAAAGAGCTGACGCTCCTCGTCTGCGGTTTCATTGAGGGACGCGAGAGAGAGCAGGACCCGGAGCGTGTCAGGGTTGCGCTCGAAGGATGGGGCGGCCCGGCCTGGGAATTTGGAGGCTAGCCATGTGTCAACGAAGGACCAGTCTTTCGCTGTTGACGCGGCGATGCGTGCGACCGAGGGCGAGAAGATTGCTGCGTGGTCAATATGGGCCATGGTGATGATGCACCTGGCATCGCACTCCAGCGTCTTGAGTCAGTGGTTGGTGACTGATACCGAGCGGGTGGGCGAGCACGCGTCAATACGTGCTACATCCTCTGAAGTTGATATGAGCGAGTGAGCGGCCTGGATTGACGCGGAGGATGGAGAACAGGGGCCCCACATCTGGGCTTCCCATGTCACCCGCAGCTGTCTACAAGTACCTACCCACCTTGGGCTTGTACCTCCTGCCAGCTGTCCGCTGGCTGCTGCCCCAAGCATTGGACTCTCCCCATTCACTGTGTGTACCATACAGTGCGAGTCGAGCTAGCCAGGTTGGGATAAGGACACTTCTTGCTTCAAGGGTCTACTTCGCGCATCCAGGTGCCAGGACCCATTTGAACGACGGAACTTCGCGACACCTTGCAGCAACCATTCGGACAACTGTCCAAAGCTCGTTGGTCTTTTCTGCCTCTTGCTTTTTTTTTTCTTAAACCCCAATTGCGTATCTTTTCGCAACTTCGTAGAGGCAGCAGGCCCCCCCTCTATCGCCTTCTTTTCTACTCCTCTGCTCTGCCGTCATTGCTACCGAGCCCTCTCGCCATGCATGTGAACATTTCAACCCTCGCCGTCGCGGCGGCTCTGTTCGCCACACCCCTCGTTTCTGCTCTGAGTGCCGAAAGTATCCCGTCCGATCTTCCTGTCTCCGAACTCCTGTCCTCGGCGCAATCCCACCTGTCCAGGGGCGAGACAAGCGACGCGCTCCTCTACTACGATGCCGCTGTGGCCCGCGACCCCTCCAACTACCTCACGTTCTTCAAGCGTGCCACCACCTACCTCTCGCTCGGCCGAACTTCACAGGCCACCGAAGACTACAACAGGGTACTGTCCCTGAAGCCTGACTTCGAGGGCGCACACATCCAGCTCGCCAAGATCCGCGCTCGAAGCGCCGACTGGGAGGGCGCAAAGGAACACTACAAGCTGGCCAACAAGGATGCCGCCTCGCCCGAGCTGGCGGCCCTCGACGAGGCTCAAGGGGCAGCTCAGCTGGCCGAGGCTGCCGAGAGGGCAGGCGACTTTGAGACCTGCGTCCACCAGGCTGGAGAGGCGATCATGACGGCGAACCGGGCTGTGTACCTGCGCGAGCTGCGCTCGCGCTGCCGTTTCGCGCGGGGTGAGGTGGAGGAGGGCATGGGCGATCTGCACCACATCCTCCAGATGAGGCCCGGCGATACGGCCCCCCACGTTACCATCTCGGCCAACACGTTCTACGGCCTCGACGACCTGAACAACGGCATGGCTCAGATCAGGAAGTGCCTGCACTCGGACCCGGATTCGAAGCCCTGCAAGAAGATGCTGAAGCAGCAAAAGGTCATCGACAAGACGCTGGCCAAGGTGGCCAAGGCCTTTGAGAAGAACCAGCCCATGACGGGCGTCAAGATGTTGATCGACAATGGCGAAGACGCGGGTCTGATCACCAACATCAAGTCGCAGGTGGAGGAACTCAAGCAGGATGGTACCATTCCAGCGAACGCACCATCGGCGCTGTACATGAGGGTCGTCGAATTGGCATGCGAGGGTTACTACGAGGTTCGTCACTTTCCTGGAACCCGCGTTCTGTATCGCGTGTTTCCCGTGCGTGTGCTAACCTGTCACAATGCAGATGAACAGCAAGAAGACGAAGCAGTACTGCGACAACGCCCTGGCCCTAAACGAACAGTCCTTCTACGGTCTCCTCCACCGTGCGCGCGAGCAGATGGACAAGGAGGAATTCGAGGACGCCGTCCGGACGCTCGAGGAGGCCAAGAACGTCAAGCCCGAGAAGCAGAACATTGTGCGCCCGCTCCAGCAGAAGGCCCAGATCGCCCTCAAGCGCAGCAAGACAAAGGACTACTACAAGGTTCTCGGCGTCACCAACGACGCCGACGCGCGCCAGATCAAGTCGGCCTACCGCAAGCTCTCCAAGCTGCACCACCCCGACAAGGCGCACAAGCAGGGCCTCACCAAGGAGGCGGCCGAGAAGAAGATGGCCGCCATCAACGAGGCCTACGAGGTCCTCAGTGACCCCGAGCTCCGCGAGCGCTTCGACCGCGGCGACGACCCCAACGACCAGGAGCAGCAGCGCGGCAACCCCTTCCAAGGCAGTCCCTTCGGCCACCCGTACATGCACCAACAGGGCCCTGGCGGCGGCGGCAGCCAGTTCAAGTTCCACTTCGGCGGCGGCGGCGGCGGCTTCCCCTTCTGATCTCCTCTGTGCAGCATTTTTTTTTTTTTTTTTGAAATTTGGGGGCCCATGAGCGGAAGACACGCAGCGCAATGCGCCACGGCGGTGCGCGCGGGAGCGTCAGGAGTTTGTGGAGTTTGATACTGTTGCAGAAGTAGGCCGTACATACACGTTGAACCTACACGCCAGTTGGCTTTTATGGTGGAAACCCTAATCCAACCGACTGGTCGGACTAGTAGGACAGTGGACGTGAACAGCTGTCACTCTTGAGCATGTATCCGTCATGTGGATATTCGTACTGAGACATCAGGTGCTTCGATAAACCTTTTTCCGAGAATAGTGTTGTGTTTGGTTTGGCACATGTGGCCTCAACGCTGACTTGTTGCCATGTCACCCAACGACACTCTAGTTGAGTTATGTGAAGAGGACCACGCGGTAGGTAGCATCGCTCAAAGAGCGCGTCTATGACGCTTCGATTGACCAAGGTTGATTTCCCACAACCCCTCAGATTACACACATAATATTTACACATTGACCGCCGCGAGCTGCGCGTGATGGATGATCACGATGGCGGCTTCTCCCGTCGTCCCCCTCCTCTCTGCCTGCAATGTCCACGATACGCCGCACCGGACGCGTGTTCCTTTCCTTGCTGTCGATGCCATGCCTTCGTCGTTGGGTGGTATTGTACTCGGGGTGGGCAGCATGCTTCGGCATTTCAGATGCGCTCCGTGACTTCTTTTGAGAACGTGCTGTATCGACTTTGCAACCTGAAGGTGAATGCAAGGATCCGTCGTCGCCAAAATCCTGACACCCTTCTTTCGTCGGGAATCCAGGTGCAATATGCGGGATTGAGCCGTCAATGTACCTCCCAACCCTCCACCCCCCCGATTCAGCCTTGCTAGAGGTAGGAGGACCGCCTTACAGCTTATCGTTGCGACGAATGAAGTAGGCCCTGGAATCTGGTTAGCAGGCCAATCCACATATACACAAGAGGAGCCAGGATCACGTACTTGGAGGCCTCGTACGCTGACCAGCAGATGGCCGTGCTGGGCATGGTCGTAACGACACGGGGACCGATTCCCTTGAAGAAGCCACGTGGGCCCTCGCGGCGCAGAAGCAGCCGGCAGCCGGCCATGAATCCGTTGACTGTCCTCAGCTCGGGGTCCGTGGCGGTGCCTCTTGTCTGCAGCATCGTCTTGATGACATCCATGGGTGTGGTGAGCGCAGCGGCGAAACCGCCGGCGACACCACCAGCCACACAGTGCGTTGTCGGGTCGTACGTCTTGTCCGGGTTCATCGTCGTCGAGATGGACTCGTAGGCGAGGAACTGCAGCGCGGTGAAAGGCACTGTCATGGAGAGCGTTGTGGGGTAGGACACGTAGAAGGCGCCCAGGCCCTCGGACTTGTAGACGTATCGTGCGCAGTCGGTCATGGATCGGTACATCTTGGCCGAGTTCTGGATCTGCATGCGCTGCTTGATGACTGTAATACACCGAGGGGATCAGTATGTCTTGCCGCCAATTGCTGAAATAGCCAAGCTCGTAACATGGAGACGAGTCGTACCATCAAAGGGGTTCATGAGGGCATCACTGGCAATGGTCGCGCAGGCTCCGCTGGTCGCTGCCGCTAGAGGGTGGTGCACACCAGCCTGGTTGCCGCCCATGACATGCTTGACGGCCTCATACGTCGCAAAGTAAACGGCGTGCGCGGGTCCCGCACCCGCAACGACGCTGGACATGCCTCGCCAGAGACTGAGAAAGCCTTCTCCGGTGGCCATCTTGTAGGTCCCCTGGATGACTCCATTGTACGCGGTAGACGCTGTAGGGTTCAGGACCTGCATGCGCGTCTTGATGGCATCGATCGGGTACATGACGGTGTGCTCCTGGCGATGCTATTAGCACTAGACAACTCGACAGGGTCATCCTCCGAACAGGTAAGGGCGCCACGCACTGCTATGCCTGCAAAAGCCCCTGCCGCCATGTTTTGGAGCAGGGAGAAGTTGGGTGGCAGAGATTCATAGCTGGAAAGAAACATCATGTCAGCACAATCGTTCGCATTGCGATAGACCGTCGTTGGCAGGGCGCACTCGTATTCTTCCTCGACCGGCTCGGCGGTTGGCTGGGCCATTGCGGCCACAGCTTCGGGCGCTTCGCCGAAAGGCTTGGGCTGGAGAGCCGCCAGGGTGACGGCTAGGAGGATGTAGGGAGGGATGCGATGGATGTGGTCGTCGAGATGTGACGTGCTCTTTCTGCGACGGTGTCCGGGAACAGCCAGTCGAAGGGTTGCAGGCGCACGATGAGAGAGGCAGGCGTGGAGGTCGGGAACGGACCGGCGATCGGATCGTGCAAATGGTATAGGAGTACCGTCAACCGTCAAGCAAAAAAGGTGATAAGGACGTATGCAACAGCTCCGTGGGAGCAAGTGCGTGAGTTTACGTGTCAAAGGTACACTTTCGCTTCTGGCTGTCGAGGTGAGCTAGGTACGGTACACGACTCATCAACGAGAGCGAGGGAGGCGGCCGAAAAAATTCAGAGCTGATTTGCGGCGAGCTGCGAGCTGCGGGCTCGGAGATGGGCCTCGCCGGGCCGTGCTTGGGGGGATCAATGTACCTGTCTTGCTTGCTATCGTGCACGTGTACATTCCCGCGCCAACCTGCCCACCCACTAACTCCGCCATCTGATTAGCACCGAGGCCCCCCACACGTACGCACCTACGGAGTCACACTTAGTGCACCTGTTGGGGGCTTGGGCACTGAGCCTCGGCGCTGCTGTTCCAGTGTTACCCGCGTCAATGACCGTGTCATTATTACCAAGTCCAGATTCGTGGGTGTCCGTCCTCGGAGATACGACTTTCTTTCTGGGCAGGTGGAATAGCATGTCTTTCGACGACGTAGCGAATGCTAGACAGCGCGGTACTCAAAGGGTTCACCGAAATCGAGCGCTTCCTCTGCCAAAAGAGAAAGAAGAAAGGGAATTGCCCTCAGCCTTGACATGAGGGTTATAATACCTGTCTACGCACACTTGCCATAGCAAAAGAAGAATCCGTACAATACTTTGGAGCAGTCACCCAGGTCAGCATTATCAAATACCTCACGCCCCTCCTAACCTGTTGTTGCGTTGTGCTTGTTGGAATTGCTGGATCAACCCCAGCACGCCAGTGTCTGGCTCTCGCGACAAAGCCCCGCTACTCTCCCTACCCAAGTTCTTGGCGGGCGAGGTCTGCCAAACCGACTCGCCCAGTGGTCCGCCCGCTTCTTCTTCATCTTCACGCTGAGAGTAGGATTGTAACTGCGAGCTCATGCCTTCTTCGGTAGGCTCTTCGCGGATACCAAGCTCTGGTGGGTGTTCGCCACGATGCTGTCGACCTTTGATACCGTACGTGCTTCGCACATTTAGGTTTGTCCCCGAAGGCTGGTGATGGGGGTCGAGCAGCATCGACGCCATGGGGGAGGGTGCTGTCATGGACGCCCCAAATCGAGGCGTCCTCGCCGGGTGGCCGAGGCCCCCTTGAAGGCCGCGGCCGCGGCTTGTTTCGCCTCGCCCCTCTCGCGAACCCGGGATCTCGGCTGCCAAATTCGGAGAGTTGAGTCCTGGGAACGCCGGAGGAGGGTGAAATTGCTGCCGCATGCTAGGCGGCACGTGGCCACCCGGCATACCTGTCTTGGGATTGATCACGTAGTTCTCGAGAAACCCGTAATATGATGCAGCCATTTTACCATGCTTGGTTGTGTAATAATCTTCGCGGACGTCGTCGACTCCAGCTGTCGGTTTTTGGTTCCCAAGGCCTCTTCTAAAGTCGAATTCTGCAAAAGAGCATACGTATCCCAAGCCATCGACATGGATCGTAAATTCTCGCACAAAGTCGATGATTTGGTCACTGCTTTTTGGGGCGGAAAAAAGCAGCACAAACGATGCGAGGAAGATGCCCAGAATCTCTTCCGCGAGAATTACGACCTTGAGCTTGTAGAGTTCGGAAAACTCCTGCTTCACATCAAAGCTGTGGAGTCGCCCTTGCCAATGGTCTGGCATGTGATGAGTAAAGTCCAAGACGCCCTTCAGCGCAAATTCGGGATCAAAAACTGTAGTCTCCTCTGATATCATACCCCTGGCGAGAGCCCAAATGGTACCGAAAACTCCGATGTAGAACAGCGCCGTCCTGTCCTTAGTGATTTCGAAGCCAAGGAATAGCTCCGGGTCGAGGAATGAAGCTGCGGCGAGTGTGAAGGTAATGGCGCCGGACATGAAGGTAACAGACCTCGCTACTTGTTCTACGAGCCGCTTCGGAAATTGGTCGATATATCGGCTTGCAAATGGGTATGACATATTGATCCGTTCTTGAAATAGATGGGGTAGTTCGTTGAACTCGCGGAATTTCCACCTGGCCAGGGCTGTATAACGGCGATCACCAAGCGTGGCCGAGTTCTTCTTGTACTCCTATTCAAGGTCGTCAGTAGGTTACAGCACGCACATTTCGGGTAAACAAACATTATAATAATTGAGTAGATGAATCACCGTCTGATAGCCGATCCAGAACGGCGTACAGAGCAGGTTGAGCAAACCCGCACAGACAAAACGATCCCGCAGCTTACGGCTGAGCAAGCCTCGTCGATCTGATTTCAGAAACTCTTGGTTGACTTGGCCACTTTGGTCAAAGATGAGGTCAATGACGCTGAAGTAAAGCCACCACTGGAGCGTTCCGGAAAAGAATTGACGGTTTTGCATGAATGGAATCGGTAAGGTCATGTCCAGAACGTCCTTGTTGATCATGGCGATGAGATAGTTGTCTTTCCGCATGAGACGGCTGGCGATATCAACAGCATCCAAACGCTCTTTTGAATGCGCGCGGATCCAGTCTCGCTGCGTCCGGGTCATGTTCAGTGCCGTGTTCGGATTGGCATCTCTGAGAGCCATGATGCGTGCAACAATGTCTTGCCACGAAACAGTTTGCATGTCTTGCTCAGGAATCTCCAAGAGATGGACATAAAAGTTTCGCATGGTAATCAATCGACGAGTGTCGACAGAGAACTGAACTGCCTTCCAGATAAAATAGAAGACGAATAGCCACAGTCCTAGATTCCAATACCACGACATCTTTTTTGTACACTGAGGGGTGATGATTTGTGACAGTGAGCTACTCCCAGGCACCTTGTTGTATTCAATGCATTGCGTAAGAAAGGTGAGAAAAATCGTGATAAATGTGGATTGCCTGTGAAATGTTAGCCTCCTTCACGTGTATAGTACTTCAGGGTCGAATTCAAGACTTACACAAGGTGCAGAGCGCGCTCGCACAAGATGCACCAAAACCCGCTGCCAAGGTAGTATTCATAGACATCCCTCATAAAAAAGTCAAGGTTCGACACGTTTATCCACCTCCAGAGTGCCTGTTCCCTGGGGCTACCCGAAACCACTCCTCCAAGTGCGGTTGACGGTTTGGCCCCGGGCGATCGGAGAGGCAACTCATGATACAGCCTTTGTTGGGACTGCGCTCGTTCCCATTGCGCTTGCGACTGTCGCGAAGGTTGGCCCGGAGGTTTATGTCGCCGTGACGTGGCTGGCAGTTGCTTACGATGCGTAGACTTGCCTATTTGCTCCGCTTCATTCGCCTCGACGAGCAATGACGCTGGGACATCATTATCGCCCTCGTCCTCACGGCCTGAGCCATGCCAATGATTTGAAACCGCCGGTCGATTTTGTGGAGTCTTCTTTGCCTGGCGAACCAAATTCGCCGTACCATCAGCCGTAGTACGACTGTCTTCGATAGCAAGGCCGTCGAGGTCTTGGTCCAGAAAGTGCTGGTTCCAGTTGTTCTCGTCCAGGTCAGCACCAGCGTTATTCTCAATGTCTTCGTCTTCTCTGCTGGCCCCTCTAAGCTCTTCGTAGAATGACTTCGTGACTCTACCAGGAACGGTATCCCGTGAAAAGAGGTTCGACGCCATGGCACAACAACGATCTACCGACTGGAAAGCGATTCGGATGAGCTGCCGTAGGCGTCGAGGCTCATGATCGGACGGGAGAGACTAGAAATTCGGCTTGAAGATGGTTCTGTAATGAAGAAAAAAGATTCATGTGGCTGCCAGCACGGCCAGCCTTCAGCAAGAGTTGAAAGAGACGTGTTGTTGGAAGGGAGTAGGCGATAGAGATCGTTTCATCCGAGAAGACGAAGAGGCAAGGCGTCGTCGTTGTGACCTCAAAACAGCGTGCGGAACAGATGAAGTGATAGATGCGGTCACGCTACATCAGGAATCTTCAGCTCTGGTAGCTACCGGATCTGGGTTTGGTAGACTGACCTTGTTGTTGCAACCATGAGGGTTTGGTACGACAGTCAGGTTGCTAGCCAGCGTGATGCAGCCTGGGGATCTTATCGGAGAATGACGTTTGGAGAGCCATGCCACATGATGGGGTCAGGCACCCCTGCAAGGTCTCCACTTTGCACGAGACCCTTGATGAATGTCGGTGGCCAGAGCTTGGACTATCCATTTATGGGCTAGAAGGCTGTGTAGATCACGTCGCTGAGGGAGCTCATCATTTTCGACAGCTCACACATTGAACAAGTGGTACTAACTATGGTCTACCACCACAGGTGATTCGGATACCCATCTTCTGGCCATCCACGAACATACACCATCCAACCCAAGTCCATGGATCACAATTAGGTCATACGTTCTTCAGTGGCCTGTAAATTTTGGCACTCACACGATCCCGTTTGTGTCAACTGAAATGGACGCGGCGACCTCACACTCCTCCGGGGCCTCCCCAGCTCTCTCGAAGGGCCCAAACCCATTGTCCTCAAAGGCCACTGCAATACTGTCCACTTCCTACGCCGATTCCGAGTTCCGAGAGGCATTGGCTCTTCTAGATGAGAAGCAAATAAACAACCAGCCTCGCGTGCGGCGACAGGTGCGTCTGGATCTTCAGAAGGAGATGATCGAGTGTAATGGCGAGATTATTAATGACTTTGGGCGTGTTGCCGACGTGAGTTTCAATCTCCCTATAGCGTGCCTCTCTCTACCTGGTCCACGTACTGATCTATGATACCAGCAATTGCGTCGGGTACGCCACACCCTGAACCAACTGAATGAGACGTACGATGAAATGCGAGGGCCAATAGCTACGTCGCATACACAGACG